AATCACATCTGATAAACGCTATATTCAAAATGTAGAGAAAACAAGGGAAAAATTACAGAACAATGAAAAAAGGGGAAAAAAGAAAGACAATAAAAATTAAAAAAAACCGGAAGGGGGAGGGAAAAAAAGGGACAAAAAATTTTAAAAAATCCGGAAAATAAAAGATATAATCTTTTTATCTTATATATATATATATAAATTTATTTATTTAACTTCTTTGCGTCACTTAATTTTCTTTCAGGAATTAAAGACTTTATACCAGATATTTTAGAAAGAGGTGGTATATTTTCTTTGCCGAAATATGAGCTTTTTTCGACCATGGTTAATAAAGCTTCAGTCTGGTGTTCACAGCAAGCTGATATTAGAATCTGCAATGCTCAATCCCTGGAAATTAAAGTTAGAAGAGGTATTTACTTTTTTAATCTAATTTACTTTTTATCTACAAAAAAGGAATACATCTAAACGATATGGAAATTAAGCGTATCGTAATTATCGTAAAAAAATAAGTGTAAGAGAAAAAAAAATAGTGCAACACTTCATCTTTTGTCAATTTTATTTTATTTTATAACCGACGTTGAACACCCGACCAAATTATGAGTTTATAATTATCAAACCCCAACTCCGAAGCCTTGTAACTTTGAACCTAACCGAGAAGACAAGGAAACCCCTGTATCATGCATTTGAAGAAACTAGCCACCGTGAAGGACTTTTTGCACTAACTCGCATTTGCGGTACACGGAGATGAAAACCACGAACATATCTGGGCTTAATCTTAATGAATTATATATATGTATCTATCTATCCGTCGTTAAACAGCCTACCCAATTTTTGGTTTACTACTACTAAGGTTTAACTCCGTAACCTCGTAATTTTTTGAACCTAGCCAGAAGACAACAAATCAATACCCCCAGAGGTATTGATTTGTTATGAGAATATGGAGGACTTTGCGACTCGACAGGTTTAACGTGCATCAGTCGTCATTTACTACACGGGGAGTATTCGGCCGATGGGGATCGAACCCACGAAGTCTTGGACATGAGCCCTTCGCCCTACCAACCAGGCTATCCCGGCCCATTACCTTAATGGTTTGAGGGGGTGACCTCAATTGTACTAATTAGTGCAGACGATATTTTAAGTTACAAAATCAGACACAAGAACGCACTTTCGCTAATAAGCATACTTTTTTTTAGCGTTTGGAATTCTAGCCCCTAGAAAGATAGCCGCAATCTGGGAAATATATTCCAGGAAAGTGGCCCAAAGCTTGGACCCATCTATATTAATTTTACTTTTTGCGTATTTCGCCATAGCTCAAAAACTTTTTAATCGAATTTATAATTTTCGCCCACATTTAATTAGTTTTATCCAAAGATAATTCCATTTAAAAAAATTTAATAATTATTTATTATTTTTGATTATTTTAATTAATAATAGTCGAATAATTCTTCATTTTTTTTTATTTTTTTTTTTGCGNTTTTTTTTTTTTTTTTGCGCATTGTAATGTACACAAATTTTTACATCATTTTAAATAAGTAATCTTGTAAGGAAAAATAAAAAATTTGGCAGAAACCGGTGGAATAGTTCCTGAAAAATCGAATTTTAAATATAATAACTAATCAGAATCAGACACAAAAACGCACTTTCTCTAATAAGCATACTTTTTTTTAGCGTTTGGATTTCTAGCCCCTAGAAAGATAGTCGCAATCTGGGGAATATATTCCAGGAAAGTGGCCCAAAGCTTGGACCCATCAACATTAATTTAACTTTTTGCGTATTTCGCCATAGCTCAAAAACTTTTTAATCGAATTTATAATTTTCGTCCACATTTAATTAGTTTTATCCAAAGATAATTCCATTTAAAAAAATTTAATAATTATTTATTATTATTTTAATTAATAATAGTCGAGTAATTNAGTTTTATCCAAAGATAATTCCATTTAAAAAAATTTAATAATTATTTATTATTTTTGATTATTTTAATTAATAATAGTCGAATAATTCTTCATTTTTTTTTATTTTTTTTTTTGCGCATTGTACTGTACACAAATTTTTAAATCATTTTAAAAAAAGTAATCTTAAGGAAAAATAAAAAATTTGCCAGAAACCGGTGGAATAGTTCCTGAAAAATCGAATTTTAAATATAACTAATCAGAATATTTGAGTACTGATACGTGAAAATCCGATTGTTAAATCAAAAGATATTCAGTATTTATCTATTTATTTATTAGCTCACTGTACATACAAAAATTCTTCAAAGTGATAAAAGAGGCATAAAAATTTATTTTGTCCTTAAAAAAATTTTTTTTTTACACAAAACGCAAAAAAACTCCATTATCTTCCNATTTTTTTTTTTTTTTTTGCGCATTGTACTGTACACAAATTTTTAAATCATTTTAAAAAAAAGTAATCTTAAGGAAAAATAAAAAATTTGACAGAAACCGGTGGAATAGTTCCTGAAAAATCGAATTTTAAATATAATAACTAATCAGAATATTTGAGTACTGATACGTGAAAATCCTATTGTTAAATCAAAAGATATTCAGTATTTATCTATTTATTTATTAGCCCACTGTACATACAAAAATTCTTCAAAGTGATAAAAAAGGCATAAAAATGTATTTTGTCCTTTAAAAAAAATTTTTTTTTTACACAAAAGGCAAAAAAACTCCATTATCTTCTTTAATCATATTCATATAAATCTCATTTCCCTGTATGAAAATTATTCTTCATTTTAAATTATAAATTTGCATCAATTTCAACTACAGCGTTAGTCTTTTTAACTGTGGTTCATGGTACAAAAAGAGACCATCAGACAAATAAATCTTGTATTGAAAAATTATTTATTGTACTATCTGAATAATAGTACTTATGTGAAAAGCTACTCATTATTTTCAAGTAAACTAATAATTTGCAACAATTTTAACGAAAGACGTTCATTTTCTGAATGATTCGTTGTGCAATAGAGCCACCAGCAGCAGAAAATGTTGCTTTAAAAGAGTATCTTTTATAAATTATTCATTAACAAATTTAGTCTTTACTTTATTTGAAATCATAAGTAGTTGTTAAAAACATTTCCTTTCATTCCACACAAATAGGATAATAGTTACATTAGCTAAAAGCAAATTAAAGCCATAAAAATTTTTATTATTTGAAAAACTTTATATTGTTGAAAATAAAACCTTTTATAATCCAGGAATTATGCCGTCTAAGAAAAATAAGATAAAATATTTTATTTCTATATAAATTCAGACTATTGCGTGACATTTTAATTCTTGATATTTAACAAAGCTTTTGCATAAGTTTTTTTCATACAAATAAACCAATAATTTGATTTCTCTAGAATAACAATGTATTGAATAATTTTGTTAGCACGCATATTCTACTTCTAAAAATATTGACTTGTGCAAATATGCATTTAATTTTCCGTGCTATCTTCATCGTCGCCTGCTTTTTGTGAACTTTAAAGATAATTTGTTTCACGTAATTTGTTTCTATGGAGATTAAAAATTATAAAAACAATGAAAAATAAGAATAAAAAATAACAATCATGAAATTATTCGTATAATAAACGTACTTTGAATAAAATCATTTTTATTTTGGCAATTAATTTTAAAATTTATAGTGAGTATTAAGCATATTATGATTTATTGAAAACGATTTTGACTCAGCGTTATAATTAGTTGATAAATATAATGCTTTTAATTCACAAATGGTAACTATAAGTCTTCTCACGATTGCTTTTCTGAAAGTTCGATAGTTATGCCTTTATCATTTTGCCGATACACGAATTTTAATTTTATTTAATCAGTTTTTATTTTTGCAATTTTTTTTCTTCAATCAAAACCATTTTTAATTGTTAACTTTGCTTTAAGTATTTCTGGTTAATATGTATAAAATATAATTTATTTATTTCATGCAGGGCATTCCATAATAACCAACCTTACTGCATGAGAATCCTTGTGAAAAACTAAATTAAGTCTAAGAAGTGCGCATATCTAAGACCAAAGATTTTTGTTTATGCGAGGAAAGACACACCCACACACACGAAAACGTTATCACAATTTGACAAATCACTTCTCAGGAGATCGCATCAAAACTAGTTTGATCACAGATTGAAACATGAACTTGATAGTCGCCTTAGTTAATTCCTTTTTTTTTTTTTTTCCTCCTGAGATTCATCAAGTTTTGAAAAAAAAATTTTTTTTTCTTATTTTATTAAAAAGCGTCAAAACATTGAATTGCGAAGTGGAACTAATTTTCATATAATTTCAAACTATGTAATTTTCCATGACGAAATCTAGTATTTGAGCAGAATCAATCGAAAGGGTCCTGAGAAATAAAGTATTAAAAGTAAATTTTTTTCTTTTAATTACAATACTCAGAAAGTGTTTGTCCGATCCTGGTTATAATTTAGATTTGGCCACTCAAAATTACATTTTCAATGAAGTAAAATTTCGTATGCCTCAAAATTCAATTTGTCTTTCATTATTTGAAAGAATAATAATTAACAATAAGATAAAGACAGTAACAAATAATGTTAAAATAATACAAGACTCTTTAAATAAAAGAGTTAAAATTCCGTTGAAATAGTTTAACAGATATGATGAAATACGCGCAAACTAAAGTTTAGATGAAGGGAAACAAGCTTTTGACCGCTTCCAACAAAACTATTGGGCATATTTATAGCATTTTGATCTGTTTCCATCTTCTTAAACACGCATTTCGAGCTGCGCCCATCTTTTTAAACACGCATTTCAGACTCTGTCCATTTTCTTACACACGCATTTTTAACTAAGTACTTTTTTTAGCACATAAAGGACATCGACATACCACTACAAAAATTAGCCAAATCATTTAATTTATAATTGCATAATTTGCCTTCAAAATTATTTAGTATAGAATAATTGCAATGATCAAAACAGTTATATTTGAGAATATCCTACTTGTGCATTAAAGTCACCTATCAGAAACACATTTAGTTATAATCAGTTATTAAATTTAGAAATTGGATTAGGTCATAATCACATTTAGTTAAAACAAGGTGGAAAACAAATGGAGATAAGTAGTGTTTTAAACTGGTAATAATTTCAGTTAAAACCAACATCGCACTAATAAAATATTAATAACCTTCGCAATTAAATCGCCAATAAAACTATCACCGCTATTATTATACTAAACTAAACTAAACTCAGCGGCGCGACAGCCCATAGAGGGCCAAGGCCTACTGTGCCCATCTCAGTTTTCTTGACCTTTGGGCACTGGGGTGCAAGAGCAGATGTTCCGGTCAGGTGGTCAGCCGAACGCGGAACCCCTAGTGTTTAGTTCCCAAGCATGCTTGGTACTCATTTATCGACCCACTGAAGGGATGAAAGGCTATTATTATACAGTGGCAGAAAAAGAAACTGCATCACCTTTGAAAAATTGTGCAAATAATGTATATGTTTTGTATGTTTAACTTAAATAAAAAATTGTTACAATCAAATAAAGCAGTAAGATTAACCTTATTTTTCATTTGAATTAATAACACTTCGCTGATTCAATTGTTTGATTCCTTGTTGATTCAACTGTACTTTGAAAACTGAAAAACGGTAAAAAATGCAATTTGAACAAAACTTGGAGCACAGGAATAGATACAAAAATACTGTAGTTATTGTAAATTCTACATAGCTGTAGTTAAATTATAAATTCTTAGTTCTGTATACGCCCATGAGAAAAGTTTCAATACTTAGTGAATCCTACACGAGCTGCGATAACAGCTTTGCAACGGACCGTCATAGAAGATATCAAATTCTGGATGTAACCAATGTTAATTTCATGATGCCAAACCCTATAGATTACGTTCTGTAGCTGACTTACGATACGAGGCTTCTGTGCAGCGATTTTTGTACCGACAGTTTTCAATATAATTTAGACCAGGCCTGTTCCCAATCCAGCTTAAAACCTTAATACCAAATTTTCATTTATTTTTTATAGATAAGCCTGCAGTTTGAAACAGGAAATACAGAGAAATTATTTGGAATATCTGTAACGTTGTGGAGATGAAATCCTGAAAATATTGCAACAAAATTAAGCATGAATTAATTCGATCCTACTTACCGATTTCGCTGTATGGCAAGATGCAGTCTTGTTGAAAAATTCAATTTCTAGCATGTTTAAAATCATAGAAAATAACGGGCTTTTTATAATCCTCCAAGATGTTTATATAAATGGACGAGTTCAGAGTTCCAGTAATACAGTTCAGCCTTCCAAACACCTTTGCTGGATATGTTTCCCCAGACTATTTGACTCTCTGACAACTAAACAGTAGGCGATGTGCAATCTGGGAGATGATAAGCTTAACTTCGTTCGCCTCCTAACATATCGCTTAGCATCTGATTCATGTAAGGATAAATTTGGATTAATCCAAAAATTGATTCAATTTAACTGAGCTATTGTTCGCTAAACATGTTCTCCTTCTCAATAAAGTCGCTTCAGAATATTTTTTTTATACTTAAGTAAAGGCTTTTGCTGGGGGATGTAGGCACACGGACCACATTTCTGATCTTGAATCTCATCCAAATTTATCACAACAATTTCACAATTACAAGTTCATCTCAAATTAGAATAGTCATCTACTACAATAAAAACTCTACTATCACTTCGAAGCAATTATATTTAAAGTATTTCACATAAATGTCCACGTAGTTTGTCAGCTTTTCATTTCTTATCGTTAGATATTGATTTCAACAACAAACTAAGCTTGATTTATGCGCACTCAAAACTCTCGATTGTAAAGCTCACATTTTGATACGGTTATACATAGAAAATGTTATTTCTACCATTTCGATGAATAAACTTGACAATCACACTGTATTCAGTAAAATATTTTTCGTAAAGTATGTGCGATATCATAAATTCATAATGGTAATTATAATATCAATCATTTCAGTTTTTATAATCCAAAGATTTTCCCTAATATTTATTAGTTTTAGCTACGCCCACTTCATTATTCACTTTTGATGCTTATAAGTTCTAAGAAAATAAATTATTCCACCTGAAATAATTTTCATAGTTACTCAGAGAATTGTGTCGATGGTTGATTTCATTCAGCGTTTTAAACACAGACATGTTGAGAATTTAATTTCTGTTAGTTCCATGAATAAACTTGGACTCAGGCGTCCTCGGTAAAGCATTTCTGCGCTAATCATTTCCGTATTTGCAATCTCAAGATCTTTTACGATATTTTTAATTTCAGTTACGCACACTTTTTCATAATCTACTCTTGATACTAATGGGTTGTGAAAAAGTAAATTATTCCATCAGGATTGATTGATTGATTTGTTCATTTATGTCGCACTAGAGCTGCACAATGGGCTATTGGCCAGGAATAATTACGTTGTTGTTGAGCAAATAATACAGATAGTTGATTTCATTCAGAATTTTGCTATCTTATTTACCTATTGCTTTATCGAAATTACATACATTTGCAGGCTTGTTTGGTCCCACAGTGGATTGATCGTTAAGACACGATTCCCAGCAGATCACCGAAGTCAAGCATCGCAGGCTGCGGTCAGTGTGCGGGTGGGTGACCACTTGGATCAGTCTGCGTAGGGACCGAGGGTGTGCGGTATTGGTCCTCGTTAAACTGTTCTACCGTAAAGTGCTCGACTTCGCGTGCAGGTCGTCGGGCTACCGAAGCGGGGGTGCCATCCCCTCTGCAGAGGATCAAAATTGTGATGGCATGTCTTCGGATCATCCTCAAGGATGTTTCCCAGACCGTCGTCAATAGCCCATTGTGCAGCTCTAGCACGCGAAGTCGAGCACTTTATGGTAGAACAGTTTAAGGAGCACCAATACCGCACACCCTCGGAACCTACGCAGACTGATCCAAGTGGTCATCCACCCGCACACTGACAGAAGCCAGTGATGCTTGACTTCATTAATCTACAGGGAACCGCGTCTTAACGATCAGTCCACTACGGGACCCATATCAAGTAGAAGAGCAGATAGCACAATTTAGAGAAAAATAGCATGAATATACATCCAGGGTTACGGCAGGATTCAAACCCGCTACCTTAACGTTGCAGTGTGTTTGGCGGACGAAACAGCTCAAGCAGGAAGCCCGCATTATTTCTTGTTGCACACACATATGCAGAGTTGTGTTTTCAATACAAAGACGGCATATAAGCTTTTTTTTTAAATCGAAGCACAACTGAGAGAATAGCACCACAAAGATACAGGGTTACGGTGGGATTCGAATCCACTACCGTGCTCTTAGTGGATCAGCGAGACCACCAGGCCAGCAAGGAGGGTGGTATTTTTGGATTTTTTTGTTTTTGCCAGGGTCCCACAAATAAGCTGACCAGCACCCTCAGAAAACTAAAAACCTGCACAATTCTAAACGAACATTTACAAAAACGTTACCGTTTCAATTATTTTAAGCCCCACAGTGGACTCGTCGTAAGATACGGTTCCCAATAGAACACCGAAGTTGAGCATCACTGGCAGTGGTTAATGTGCGAGTGGGTGACCACTTTAATCAGGCTATGAAAGGACAGAGGGTGCGCGGTATCGGTCCTCATTAAACTGTTCTACTATAAAGTACTCTACTTCGACAGCAGGCCGTTGGACAGCCAAAGCAGGGGAGCAATCCCCTATGTAGAAGATCAAAACAGTGACGGCATATCTTCGGATAATCCTCTGGGATGTTTCCCAGACCTTCGCATGAGAACATTAAATTTGAAAGATAAAAAATATAAATGGTTTTCAAATATATCTATCTGGAAATTTTACTGTCAATCTTCTAGTTTTTTAAGGACGCTGATCAGCTAACCCACAGTGAACTGATCGTAAGACCACGGCTGCCTGCAGATCATTGAAGTCACAGTATACAGAAATTTAGAAATAGAACAACCCGATTCAAAAACATTAAACCTGAATATAGATAAAAGATAAACATGGATAGCTATTGGGCCGGGATAGCCTGGTCGGTAGGGCGCTGAGCCCATGTCCGATAGTTCGAACCCCGCCGGTCGAAGACTGGCGACGAAGTAATTGGTGACTGATGCACGTGAAATCTGTCGATTCGCAACGTCCTCCATGTTCCCATAAGAAATCAATATCTCTGGGGTACTGAATTGGAGATTGATCGTTCTCACAAAAATTGCGATCTATGGATGAATGAATGGATGTATGAATGGGTTCGTCCTATAAATGGGTGTGACGTATGATGTGGCAGAAGTGGAATTCTTGGCAATAGATGGCACCCCTCTGCCTTAACAGGCATACCAGAGAGAGAGAGAGAGATGGATAACTTTTGAAAATTTTCTAAAAGATGTCCCGAAATTTACCGTTTTTGCTACTGCGAAATGTGAAGAGGGGGAGGCAGAGAGACAGTTGGTAGTTCAGGGTTATTTAAAATAAAAATTTATTACAACTCGAAAGAACAATGGCATCGTTGTGTCATTTCCTGATCATATAATTCCTCAATTTGATTTTCAAAGTTGGCAATCAAGATCATGCGATTTAAGGCAGTCGTTTTTTTTTTTGTTTTTTTTGTAAGTTTGAAGTTAATGACTAAAAGCCAGTGAACACCCATGCTCAAAATTATTTCAGGACTGAATTTTGGCACACACTGTATCGAAAATTGTTGTTTAGAGTGTACTAAGTTTTTAAAGTAACGAAGTTATATCTGCTACATGATGAGTTAGCAAGTGTAATAAAATAAAAAGGCCTTGGCCCTCAGAGGGTCATTGAGTCATAAAAGAAGAATTAAAATTTCTTATTTTACTTTGAATTGTTTTTATTGAAAACATGTTCAGATTTATTTATAATTCAGTTGATTTCTTTGAAAATCCAAAATTGCTATTATAAATTACATAAATATATATATATTATAGGCAATGAAGTGGATACACAGAAGATGAATTATTTTGAGCACAGTGGAAGAGCAACCTTCTATGTTCGCATATTACGTTTAACTTACGTAAAACCTCCACTTTACACAAAAACGGATTTCAAGTCATCTGATATATCACATATTTCCTGTAAATCGTTTGTGCCAGTGCAGATATCATCTGGTATATTCTTCCCCGAATTCGAAACATTAAATGAAACTAAAGAAAGAATATCTGCATGGATGAAAGCAACAGGTAAATATTTGTTTCCAATATTACCAATATTGTAAATATTTGGTTTAAAAGATCTTTTCTTCTCACTTATGCCAGGGGAGTCATGGGGCTTCCTAATTTTGCGTCAATGTTGTCAGCAATTTGCACAGATCATCCTTTTATTTTTTAAACAAGTTAAATGGACTTCAAGTGGCCTCAGGCGATCAAGCACAGTTATTGTAAAAGATAGCTCAAAGACTTTACCACTGTTCACTTGAAACTCGAATAACTTTTGTAAATTAGTTTAAAATACGCATTTAAAGTTTTATATTTAAAAAGTCACAGTCAGCGATATTGCGCTTAACTCAAATTATATTAATATGTACTTAGGTCCAGAAATTAAATGTTACTATTAAGTAAAAAAAATGAGCAAAAGGTCACTTTCATTGCTATTGAACTCTCCATTCCTTAGAAAAGGCAAACTCACTGAAGGGAATTGTAGCAATTCAATATGGACAGTAAAATGTAAAGCTTCGCAATTCATGAATGTTTAAAAATACAAAATATTAGTTTATATATTTACATCTTATTCATTTTTTTCTTTTTAGATAATTTGTCTTTTTCTAGTTGGAAAAAGCGTGGAATTATAAGTTTTTCCCCCCAACTAATTTATCGAAATATTACATGCTATACATAGGTAAACTTTGCAGTGGATTTAGGAAAACAGTTCCCCTGTCCGTAGAACAGAGAAAATAAACCTTGCAATTAAAATAAAAAGAACCATATATTGTTTTTAATGTTCAAAATTAGCTTTGCATTGCTGGTTTATTATCTTAATTTTTAACACGAAATTCTAAATTTTTTATTTATAATTTTAACTGCGTACTTAGAATCCATTTCAGTTTTTCTTACGGAGGTAACAGATCTTATAATTGTTTTTACTTAGATTAATAAGCAAGGCCCGTAAAATACGGTCACTGACGACCAATAAATTTAGAGTGGCGTCTATATTTTTAGTTTTTCAGTCACGAATATAGTTCAATAATATTTATGCCACAAAAAAAAAAAAAAAAAAAAAAAACGGTCTGAAAATAAACTTGAGCGATATTTTTTCCCTGTTCTCAATAGTCATTTGTAATAACCATTCCAAATGTGAATGTTGGTCTTTCATGCATGGATGCATTAAATAAAATTTTAAATTTGACAGAGGAAAAAAAATAGAAACGGGGGAGGTGCTAATATTTTTATTGGCTATCAATATTTGTTAAATTCGTGAAGCCCTGTTAATAATAATTATAAGGAAGAATAACTCAATATTGACAGAGAAAGGGCATAAGTCTCATTAATTCACGACATTTTTAGAACTCTTGAGCCTTAAGATATTTAATTATTGTTATATGCGATTATGAGTCTCACAATAATCATTCTTAATATGTGCATACTTGAATAGAGATGATCTGTGCAGTTTTTCATTTTTCAACAATTAGGCCATAAACGAATGGTATGCTAGCTTTGCAACTGTTGTTGCACATAGGCCGCATAAACATTTGTTGAGCCAGACATTATCTATGTTACGCACTAACAATAAAATAGAATTATTATGCTACGAATTCTGACGTCAAGACAAAAAGGAAATCAAATAAGATAAAAACTCAGATTAATTAAGAAATTTTTCGCCTTTTCAACTGGGGTAAAAATCACTAAGTTACTAATTTGAATGTCTAGAAATCGAGCACAAATTATGTATATAACACTAATAAAAAAGCAAAGTATTAACTCTACCAATAAAATTTAAAGCTCAAAACTATGCTTTTTTTGGAAATTGAAGTACAAATAAATTATTAATTAGCAATTTATAATCATCTTTTGCTCAATTTAAAATTTTAATTAAAAATAATTTCATTACAATAACAAATCTCTTTAACATCTATTCATAATTTCACAAAATGAAACTTTAAATTTAAAAATATTATAATGTAATCATGTAAGAACAAAAGTTACACTTAAATTATAATTAAAGTTATTTTTCTTTAAGTATTCATACGAATTGAGAATAATAATAGTAATCTAATACAATTTAAAAGTTAAATACTAAGTTAGAAGCACAAGCTGGTGTTTTAAATTTTTAAAAGTATCATTATTTTGTTTTATCTGCCTTATTTGCACGAATAATTTTGTTTATTTAAATTTTAGCATGAATACTTTTGTTTATTTTAATTTTAGCATGATTAATTTTGTTCCAATGTATAACTTTTTATGAAAATTTGTTTGTTTTCTTTTTATAATTTGCATTGTTTCTAATATAAAGACTGCATTATCCATTAATTCATTTCTAATATTTTTATTATGAGGACAATCTGATAATTAAGAAGCATATTAAATTTATAGTAATATATTTTTTAGAAAGAAAAAAAAAACTTTGAAATTTAGGCATGCTCAAGTCTTTGAATGATTGAAAAACAATAATTTGCTAAAACATATAACTTTCTTTTAACACAGAACAACTTAAAATTTAATTTTCTTGTAAGACAGAACGACTTAAACTTTAAGTTTTTTGTATGAAGATCTGTTTTAAAATATACAAGCACATTTATTCACACAGTCCATTATAAATAAAATACAATGTCATACTAAATCCCTTTTTAAGAGGCACAGTTTTTAAAATTATAAGTACATTAATTTCATAATTAGCATTTAAATAATCATATCCACCACAATCTATTATTAATAAAAAACTCTTTGGAGAAGAAAAATCCTTTGGATTTTATATTCTTTTAAGCAAAAGAGATTGACAGAAGGAAAAAAACATCCACTAAATTTTAATTACCAATTTCTTCATTAAGGCTGCTTTCTTATTTCTCCTCTACCATCATAGTAAGCTTATTTGGAACCAATGATTATATTTTTAAAATGATTATTTTCATATTTTCTTTCTTAACTCTTAGATCTATAGTAGGTTATGCTAAGATATTCCACTTTTTTAATACATTGTGCTTAGAGTATGCATTAAAAAAAGGACAGACTTATTTTTTCAAGATAAAACTATGATTAAGGCTTTGTATTCGATCGATATTTTGACGTCAAACCTTAAATATCAGACCATCCTCATAGTTTAAGATTTAAGAAGTCTCAATTATTAAAGGAAATTAATAAGAATTAAGATTCAATAAATTCAACAATCAATTTATAGTTGATTTTGAATTTTCCAGCCAAGACATGGCAGAAAAATAAACAATATTTTAACATTTTCAGGTGCTCGTGTGATAAACTGTGAAACCACAGCCATGAGACTGCATGGAGCAGGGGAATCGAAATACGGTTCAGAAGCTACTTGTTCATGTAGCCAAAGTGAAAGAAATCAGTTTTGGGTTTATGTTATTCGATTATACATAAATGGGCCTTATGTAGAACCTTCAGCGGGAATGTTACCTCCTGTTCCAGTGATGCAGAAAAAAAACTGTTACATTCAATAACATACAAATTTTCTTAGATGTGTATTTTCATGTTTTTGCAACAAATTTCAAAATATAAAAATATTCAATGTATAATTGTTTATTATTGGCCACATTTTAAAAACATTTTTCATATTATATTACAAGAAAAATACCAGAACCACAATGCTCTCAGAAAATTTGTAAATTTTTGTTAAGCAATTACGTTTTTAGGTAATTAAATAATACATCACACTATTAAATATATAAAAATTGTGATGAAGTGAACTATTATCCAATAATTAAATAATTAAGGTTTCAAATTGAAACTTATTACTATGGAAATCGGGATCTCTCTCAGCAGGGTTACAGGAAATTACTGTTCAACTAAAAAAAAAAAAAAAAACCCGGTTTAACTTAACACTTTATTAAAATCATAGCAAAATTTGCATGATATTGAAACTCAAACATAAACAATTTTTCTAAATGTAAGTGCAAGTTTGATGCAAATTCATCGAACTGGCCATCATTTTTAATTTTGGTCATTTAAAATTCATGCAAACACTCTTACCCTTTATTTAAATCAATATTAAGCATTAATTTATCACAAAATATTAAAAAAGGCATTTTTAATTGTCCATTTAACAATTAGTATTGAAAAAGGCCCTGCTTTAAACCAATTATGAAAAAATTGCAAACAAAATATTTATATTTGGGATGCTTGCATTATTTCCAATTGAACAAGAGAAGAAAATGTAGAGCTGTTGTTCTCACTCACCTTGAAAAAATATAAGTTTCATTAAGCTGCTTTGCTAGTTATTATACAAGAAACATTTTTAAAAATAAAATTTTTTAATCATTAAGGAAAGTAGTATTTAGAATATTAAGGTTTAAAGAAATAGTTTCAGTTCTCCAATTGAGCCGGAGAAAAAAAATCAGGACATTTTCAAAAAAAATTAGGACAAAAATAAGGACATCTTATGCAATAAAATACATATACCAGAAAAACTACTTATACACATACTTACTTTTAAAAGGGAAAAATGACAAACCAAAAGAGTATAATTTACTCAACTTGAGCATAATAAAAAATAAATTTCATCATAAACGAGTTATAAATAAAAAGACAAGTTAATATCAGAATTTCTTTGTTTAGAACAGAAGGTTTTGAGAGTCTCCAGCATAATGAAGTACAACGCATAACAAATTGAGATCAATATACAGATTTTATATACTACTGTTGCATTAAAAAAATAACCAGTATTAGATCAATATTTCTCTCTTGATTTCTAATTTCTTAGATTACAAATTAAAATTTGTAATCTAGTAAAAATATCTAAAAAATTTGACCTTCTAAATCAAATAATTATAAAGTAGGGTTTCAAATATCTCACAGTGAATATGCTGGTTAACATTTTTGAACAAAAATAATTCAGTAGATGATCCCTAATTCAATAAATTCAAAACAATTTTATTTTTTATGAAATGAATTTCCAAAAAAATTTGAAATAATGAATCCTGCAGACAAGGCTTAAATTATGAAATTTTGAGAGCTTTACGAGCATTTTTAATAAAACAAGATGTTGGATCAAAAATCTTTCGCTTCTCAAAATTGGTTAGAGTCGAACTTCCTCATAACAAGCCCAGATTTAATAAAGAAATCAAGAATACTTGGTTAATTTTATAAGTCTTTTAGAGCATAACTCACTTTTAATGAGTAAAACCTGATCTTATAGAGCAATATTTTTAAGATTCATACAATTTCTACATACTTCCACCTCTCCAGCTTCGCTAATCTATTCTGTGAAAAATTCAGCTAACATTCAAAAGAAAACTGAAAAATAGTGATAAACACATGAACTTCTTTCAAAAACAGGAGTGTAAATAATGAATTTTTTTGGGCCACGAGTCTTATCTTACGCAACAAAAAGACAGTTCAAAGTAAAATAACTCATTTCTTTTGTATAGTAACAGAAATAAAGTACTACATTTACAGAAATAAGTACTATATTTATAATTCAGTAAGTATGTATAAGATTTCTTCATGAGCCCGGTATTTATTAATACTCAGCTATAAAGAGCTTGGTTCAAATCCTGCTGGCATCTAACATACATTTTTTCTCCACATGCATTTTGCTCAAAAATGAGAATATCTTCTTTCAATTTTAAAAAAATGGGGTCTTTAAATTCAATTATTATTTGTTTCAGAGCTATTTGGTTAAAACTTCATGCTCATTATAAATGAAATCGATTGACTTTTAAAATGCGTATTTATAGAAAATGAGAGGCAGTGAACAAATATAAAAATTAGGAATATCAGGACAAAAAAGGTCATACTGTCTTCTTATCAAGAAAATCAGGACAACTATGAACCCTGAAGTTAACAGATATTGCAGTGAATTTGAAAATCATTAACATTCAGTAAAATATTTTCTATGAAAATCTATTTTTTATCATTATATAAACAAGAAATAACCTAAACCAATCTGTGTCACCTTCACATTAATAGTGAAGGTGCTTTTTAGTTTAGATCGGTGCATTTAAAAAAATCGAAGTATATGCCTAAAAGTAAATAATGTGGTTAGCATGAGACACAGACAATTGAACTCATATAATGTATTTTAAAATATTATAAAAAAAATCCTTTGAAAGAATGCAGCTAATGAAAATTAAATCAATTGCATGTTCATATTGAATTTCAGAAACAACTTAATTTTTCCAAAAGTGAAGCTATCACTTGAACCTTGGCTAAGAGAAATGCTCATAGGGTTTCTCTCTCCCTTAAAAGGCAATACTTGGGAATTTAAAAATTAAATTCTTAAACATTTGGATTACACTCTTTGATTTGCATAAATTAATGAACATAGGTTTATTTGGAAAATATTATTAAATTTTTAGTGAAAGTAAAAATATTTTATTTTGTTTATTTATATAAATTAATTTCTGTAGGTCAAAATTGAGAGGATCTACTAAAAATAATTTGAGAACTGAATATTTTATAAAAACTTTGATAACTGAAAAAAAAAACATTTGGAAATAAAAAAACTGACTTCATGCAATACTGTAATAATAAAATAGGAATGTCAGAGTACATTGAATAAATCAAAATAATTGTTTTATTTTCTTTCAAAAATAGTTTTGTAAATAATCTGTTCAAATTAGTATGTCATTATACCAACTGAGACTAGGATATTTAAAAACTTGAGTCTTTAAGAAAACATTAAAAATGTTTCTTATTTTCTTTTCTTTCAAAAATAACATGAATCAATCAATTTAATTTTCCCTCTTTTTTTAAAAAATAAGTTCAGTTCAGCGTGTTAAAAAGATAGGCTTAAAATGTATTTTATGTAAACGAAAATAAAAAACTTCATGGTAAACATAAAATCTCCACTTTTTAATAAATGTCATTAAAATGTATGTCAATGAACTTTCAACAAACAATGAGCATCTAATCAAATTTTTCTGTACTGAAACGAGTTGTATAAAAATAACAATAATTTCTTATTTGCATATTTTTAAATAAGTTTTACCATTAGAAATTTTTGCACTTTTTTTTTTGTGTTCTTAGATGTTTTGGGAACTAAATATCATTTTATGTGTTGCTGTTGCATGCACAAACAGCATACTTGGATACTTTATTGTATCTAGATGTTATGTCCATGTCAAAGAAAGTTAGTTATTTACCCTATGATAATAATTAAGATATTTTTACACCATGCTTTTGTTGTTTACTGATTGCAGGTGCAAGAGTCATAAGTGCGGAAACTTCTGCTTTAAGAATTCTGACAGGAGGTGAAGCAAAACAAGGCACAGAAGCAAGCTTCACTTTTAACCAAGCTGAACGGGATGAATATTGGATTTTTGTTATAAGAGTATATTTGAATGGAGCATATAAAGAGCCACCAGAAGAAATGCTGCCACCTGTCCCTGAACTTGAAGAACAAAACTGTTGTACACTATTGTGACTGCAATTGTCAGCAGTTTTAGAAAGTATAATATTGTTTCATCTATTACAACTTTTTGAATTTTAAAACCAAGTTTTAACAGGAAGTTGTTGGTTGTATTTGAATTTTTTTTTAAATTAAATATCTTAAGCATGTAACCATTGGTCTGAAATGGTTAAAAAAAATACAATTTCTTATTTTATTAAAGAAAAAAGATCAATCATTCTGGTTTTAAAATAGGCAAAGAATGTTTTCACAGTGTTTTAATTTAAAATTACAGTACCTAATAATTTATTCCATACAAGATTGATCATTTATACGCTGCTATTAAAGCTATGCTATGAAGCATTTAAGAGGATTTCTTTTCATTTATAACCAAATTTTAAAATGTATTACATAAATATTCCAATATTAAGACATGCCAAAGCAGACAAAAAAAAAAAAAAAAACGATAAATTTAGTGTTTCTATAAAAGTCCATGTATATGTTCTGAATACATTAAACAGAAATTACAAATTAAATTGCAATTTAATCATATTTATACAATAAACGATAAATTAAATAAAAAAAATATTGAATTACAGTAATTTCCGGTAAATAGGCCGCGGCCTATACGTGTTTAAAAGTTGGGCTGTCACGATGCGCGGCCTGTACGCCGATGCGGCCTATATGTAAATTTTTTTATCCCATCCCACAAGTGAGAATTTTTTGATCATGGTGGATTTATTCAAAATCAGATGTTTAGTAAAAATTTTCCAAAATAACGAACCTAATTCGTAATGTTTACTCTGGTAACGTTTTTCTTTCTTATTTTTTTAAATGAATTTGCCGAATTTCNAAAAATCGATGATCGATCGAAAAAACGAAAGTGCGGCCTTTACGACGGTGCGGCCTATAAGATGAAAATTGAAATTTTTAACGATGTTTTTTGCGGGTGCGGCCAGTACGGCCTATTTACCGGAAATTACTGTACAGATGCAGAGTAGTTTTAATTCATGAAAAAATAAAGAATGAGGATATTGCCCCTTTTTAAAAGATAAAAATTTTGTGAATTTGTTAAGATATGACCAAGTGCCTGCAGCTGATTATTTAATGCATGTAATGTTATTTTCTACTATAACCGGAGTTGAACAGCCGACCCAATCTTTCTGTTTACAACTATTAATGTTTAACTACGCAGCCTTGTAATTTTGAACCCAATCCAGAATAATTTTGAACCCAATCCATCCCAGAACAAGGGAACTCCTGGATCAAGTATTAGGAGAAATTTGTCTTCATGGAGGACTTTTTGATGGAACAAACCCGCATTTGCATTATATGGAGAGGAAGACCATGAGAACCTCACACGGTTAGCCTGACAGCAAGGGGACTCTAACCCATGATCCGTCCACCACTGAGAATACTTCACGTCAGCACTGTGGTCTGTGCAAGTTGGATGTGGAATTCGCATCGACCAACCATTGCCGGGATTCGCACCTGTTTCACATCATTGGAAGGCAAATGCTCTATCCCCTGAGCCATCACAGCTCTAATACATGTAATTGGTAAAAAAGGGTAAGAATTGAAAATGGTAAGCCATTGAAAAATTCAACAAGATATTTAAACAGAGTGTAGAGAGAAAAAAGAAAACAGCATTACAAATTAAAATTAGTGAAAGACCCCTCTGTTCACTGTATTCTGTTATTCTTCCAATTTTATCATCTTGATGTTAATGCTAAAAATGCTAAGATTAGAAGAAAATTGAAAAATTAAAATCAAGACACAAAACTACAGCTAATTGTGGATGCAAAATTAATGTTTAATGATGAGCTAAGAATTCTTACAGAAATGATGGTTTAAAAATGGCTAATCTGAAAATGAATATTATCCAAACACTCATATAAAACATCATGGAGTAGATAAACACCAATCATGAGTATAGGTTACACTAATAAAAAGTAATTTGTAAATTATTGCCTGTAGAAACACATGTAAAATCTGTAAGCATTAATAAAACATTCATTCATCTATAAGTAGTGGTTTATAGATTAAGCAAACAGCCTGCAGAAGGAATAATAACCAAAGTTTAAAATGGTAAAAATACAAGTTCAATAATCATCATCTTTAATACAAATGAAGTTTTTACTAAATATTAAAATTTTATAAAAGAGGTAAATACATAAATAATTGTAAAATTATTAATTCAGAAGTATTTGATGAATATCCAGTGATACAAAATAGCCATATGTTTACAATATAATGGGATGTACATGCTCAAATAGAATGACAAATGTTATCTTTTTTTTTTTAAACAAATAAATTGAATACTCCAACTTCCAACAACATTTTCTCACATGAAACAATCTCATCACCTAAAAAGAGTAATTTTACTTTATTTAAAATACATATATGTGCTACAAAACACAAAATAGAAGCTGAGGAATCAAAATAAATGAGTCAAGAGAGTTAATTTTATTTCATAAGCTTGTAATCGCAGCTTAAAATAAACTAATTTGTCCGAAATCTTTTAAATTTTCATTTCCAGAGAGTCCAACTGCAGTGGCTGTAGAGATAGAATAGTTTGGACTCTTCCTGATTGTTGGACCTGATCTTAAAACCAATTGAATATCTCAACCAATGGCAGATAGAAACTATTTCCAAGGCAATCCTTTAATTTAAGGTGATTAAATCTTTCCCTAAATGTTATTTAAAAATGTTGATTATACAATGCTAGGATCATAAACTAAAGTACGTTAGAATCATTAATTGGATGAGCATGTATAGGTGGTAATAAAAAACCTGATTTTTTAAAACATACAATAAAAAGGCCTTAGAAGGAGGAACAAATCGCTGGAGGCCAGGCCTTTTGAGGGATCGAGTTAAGAATCCTATTCATTTGTAAGCACAGTATTTGCTATTTATATAATTATTTTTGTTCTTAAGACTTTTGATATATATTTTTTTTAATAAGTGATTGATTTTATAAACATATAATTGGACCCTGAAAAAAAATATGAAAGGTTTAAAAATAAAAAAATATTAAATATTCCAAAGTTAAATTTCATAAATATATGCTACAATTTAAACAAATTGCTATATTTTTTTTAATTTTATCTGTTTTAATTTATGTTTGCTTAAAAATTAACAACTAAGAGGTTTAAAAAATAAAAAATATTGTTCGTTGAATAAAGGAATTCGAAATAAAGAATAAACACAATTTATTAGTTTTTTTTAAATGTTTGATGACTTATGGACTGCTCGTCCCCATGCTTTTGCACTATAAAATTTCTAATAGAGAAGATAGTCTTCACTCCAACAATTAATCTTATTAAATAAAGACAACCATACACTGAAATTATTGTGTCCGTATATTGCAAGTCCTTATCCACCCCTTCAATTTCTTAAAATAACACTACATTCATTATTCCATACGATTAATGCACATTTTGTGGGTGGTCAGATTTTTCTGATTATCTGTAATAAATTGCAGAAAAAAAATTTCAAACAAGGAAACAAAAAGTTCAAACATGAAAAGTGCAACCCAGACAAAAAAATATCTCAACTTTTCTTTCTTAGAACATAATTAGGCTAATGGCTTTATCAACACAATTAAAATTTACCAATAGTAATACTTTCAAGTTAATTCTATTAGAATAAGTAACATTGGTGACTGTTGGCTCTTGAAACTAGCTTTCAATTCATGTGGGCCAGTATACTATTTACAAATAATGTGAATAAAAAATTGAAAGTATTGATCTTAACCTAAGTCAACAAAAAGAAGAAACAAAATTACTTCCTTAACAATTATATATATGGGACATTTTAGGATTTTTTTTGTGTGCTTATTTTGTACTTGAAAATGATAAACCCAATATTTTAAGCTAAAAAAAAATATCTCTTTGAAAAACTGCAAAAAAAAATAATAATAATAATAATTAAGCAGGTTTTAAAACCAAGTGGATAAGACTTATGAAGCAATTAAAATATATTTTATGTCACATGTAATGAAAAATTTTGGGACATTGGTCCCAAAATTCATTCACAAAAAACAGTTTCTCGAAATGCTAATTTACATTTCAACAAATTTTAAAAATATCCTTGTAGAAGTTTTATTACCTGTCTTCACCCTGTTCATTCAATTGCAGCACCTGTAAAATAAATGAACCATTAACTGTCATGTAACTCAACATGGTTAATATGATGCCCATATGTGAATCCTACTACATGCATATTTTGGAACAAATTGACATATGCAAAATATGCATATTTTTGAATTAAATTTATTATTATCTTAAGTATCTATTATTGTATTAAATACATTATTATTTCACTATACAAAATGTGCAGTCTTTTATTTCAGCTTCTATTAGTAAACTATTTTAGTTTTATTAAAGTTAGTATGTTTCATAATATATTGTATTTTCAACAATTTAAATGAACTAGAGCAAATGGAAGAGAAACAGTCAAGATCACATACAAAAATAATCAAATGACTCCAACTATTATGGATGTTTTGAAAACAAATAAATAAATAAAGAACAACACAACTCGTAATGAATGTTAAAAATAAGAAAAGCCAAGCATAAGAAGTAATTATCCTTCTCTTTTATTATCTATGTAATATATACACTGCGACCAATAAGTTATCATATAACTTTTGAAACATTTAAAAAAATTATATATTTGTCCAAGTCGTCCCAATTCTTTTCAGACTATTTAGTATAAAGTATATCAAAGCTATTGCAAGTTTAAATGTTGTACCACCTATTATATTTCTTTACCTAAGTAAAATGAAGAAATTTAGAGAGATCATAATAAATAAATTCATCAAAGGAGAGCAGCTGGGCAAAATTTTCAAGAACTTGAAAGCCCTGGGGTGAAGAAAGATTTCATTTACAGAACTATTAACTGATGACCAGGGTTGGCAGGTTTTTGACATGTGACAGTTTTTGACAGTTTAAACCATGGTTTAAACCATCACGTCAAAAACCTCACTGTCAAAAATGTCGAAAATGTCAAAAACCTATATTCATATGTGAAATTTAATTAATACATAAAATTTATATATTTTTTATAGGATAGTGTTTCTAAATATGTTCTAGAAAAAATAAATTTAAAATTTTGAAGAAACACTTATATTTTGAATAGTAACCAAAATCTTGTACTTTTGAAAACTCACATCTTTTGTAATATTATGTATTCATTTTCATGTGTTATTGAAAATCTGCAGTGATATTAAGAAATTTATTTATAACCAAATTTAGTGTATAGTATAGATTATTATAAT